CACATATTTATTCAATATGAGACCCCAAAAGCTTGCAATACCCTCAACAATTACTTTGATGTTGGTCTCCAACGCCTGTTGCTGCAATTACACGACAATCATTATTAATTTACCGTCTATAACACTACTTTTCAACATTTATTAATTTAACTCACTGCTAAGTGGTATGGAAGGTAGCCAATCCTCCAGAGTGACTTTTTCGCATCGTAGCATACTTCCAGGTGAGTAAATCAATAACCTAACAAAATTAATTACACAATCAGAACATATTAATAGGTTTTAACATTTTGTACTTTCTACTTACCACACCGCCAACTCATTCCGTAGGCTTCAACGTTGCAACGTCGGATACACTAGCGTATTGATTTCCCATTGAGATTACAGAAAGACTGTATGAATCATTAGGATTAATATCTTATCATGAAATATTTAAATATCACTTACAAAACAATATATTTCACTTACTTCGATTCTAACCCACTATTCCATAAATAATCACACATTGTAGCTTCGAGCTCATCAATTCCGCTTGGAATATCTGCTTTTTCAACCTACAATTTTGCATACAAATTTTTGTCACAACAACATGATAAAAATCAAATTAAGTTTTCTTTTATTCAACATACCTTATGCTTCTTCTTCTGGGGTGCATGACATTTAGAATCCAAATCTGCATCTATAACACTCTCCGGTGTATAGATCATATCGACATCCTTCCTCCTCATTTCCTCCATCTTTTCTTCTTCCTCCATCTTTTCTTCTTCATATTTTTTCAGTTCATCGTATTTTTGCTCTACATAGCTTTTCATCTCTTTTATACTCAACCACCCCCTTCACCCCCATAAGTTCACTCTTCAATTCCACAACCTCCTTGACCACTCCATCAATTTTTTCACCCGTCACCATCTTAAGTTCACCCCTCAACACCTCAACTTCTTTTACCACTTCACCCCTCAATACCTCAACTTCTTTCACCACTCCATCTATTTTTCCTTTCAATTCCCCCTTATGCCTCTCAAGTGTCTCTTGGACTCTTGATTGTCTTTGTAGAATATCAAAAAAGAATTTTTTTATATAAGCCAATTCAGACATTAAAATGTCGAATTTACTCTATTTTCCCTTACCGTCATCCCCCTGACTGAATCCCCCTACAACCATCTCATCTTCCTTCTCCACTGCCTCCACTGTCTCATCTGTCTTCTTGCCAATAACCTTCAAAATTAAATTACAATATTAAGACATTGAGTATATTCTTAATATTATTTAATTACATTTATTACCCTTTCTTGCTTCCTCGGTCTATCCAACTTCAACTTCGCCATCACTCTAACCACCTCTTCCTTCCCCCATGCATAGATGTGTGCCACTCCGGTTCTTTCATAAGTCGACACACTATCACAGCCTGACAAAAAATCGAACAGTGCAACCTGTATTTATAATAAAATTTATCATTTTATATAATAACTATACTATCATTTTATATTAAAAATAAAAACGTTCTTCAACTCATTTGCCTCTAAGATTGATATGCACCCTTTGAGGTATCTCTGGCTGCCCTTTTTAAAGGTGATTATTGATTATATCAATCTTGAATGGACATATTCAGCCCAATTGAATTCAACCTTCAAGCCTTCATCGCAAATGAGCTTCATATAGTCATTGTTCGTTGACGTATCACCTGTTGGACAAAGAAAGATCCACACAGGGTACAATAGAACTCGGGCCTTCAGGTCACCCCCCTTAAGATCCACTTTTGATTTCCTCTTCAAGTTCAGCATATGTCACCTTCTGCTTCAAACCATATTTGGAGGCAAGTGCTTTCCAGTTCTTACTCTTAGAGACTTATACAACACTTTTGCCTTCATTTCCTACCCCCCAAGACGGCTGCAGCACATGGGATCCCCAGAGGAAATGAATAATCACCATATTTAGCAATACATTATTCGACATCAAATTGCTCAATCAAGGATCAACACAATTCCCTCCGAATAGGTCGATCCCTTACTCCTACCAATGATCCAAACCCCATTTCTTCCAGCACATTCAACTGATCCTTCACCTTAAGGTGTTTAATTAATGAATTCACCCTTTTAATACTGCACATTGTCGACACTTCCTATATTTTTAACAATATATAATGTTATTGTTTTTATATATTTTGTATCAACGTATTTACAAGTTTAATGAATACCTTCTTTTCATGTGTTTTCCTCCATTCTTTGTATTCTTCATTATCCATATTTGACTGTGCGATATAAGGTTCCTTTTCAACATCACTCATCAAATTCCATTTCTCCAACACATCATTTCTCACCTAATATTAAGCATAAACGTTTCTTAATCAATACATTAACGCTAAATAATACTCAATGTCAATTTCAATTTACATACCGAACCGATGTGTTTGCCAGCTTCCTTAATCCTTTGGCATTCGATCATACTGTCAACATTTAAAATTTGTAATCAATTGAAAGTTCTTAAATACTTTAATCCAATTACCATTTCAACAATAATAACAAAAAGATATTAATACTTACTATAAGTACATATATCCACAATTTGGTTACTTTCGAATCTCAGCCTCAATTTCAAAGTCATCTTCGCCACCAACAATTCCAAGATTCTTTGACTTCATTTTTCCTTCATATACCAGTTTACGCAAATCAAATCAAATATTGGTTACATACACTTTATTCAATATACAAATATTGATAACTACTATTGTAGTGAAACGGTTTCCTTTAAAAGAATTTGAATGGCCACTACAACAAGTGTCGGCACATTTATACAACCTACAATATCATTTTCTACCTATAATATTATAAACAGGTATCCATATTTATTTTCTACCTATAATATTATATAATCGGTCTCATATCCTTCTTGGCTTTAATTCGAAATCCCCAAACCAAACCCAAAAACCCTAATCCATGTTTCCTTCAAACGAATGGGAACACTCAATACTCCAAGTATCGGCATATTTATACAACCTATAATATCATTTTCTACTTATAATATTTAATAAAAGTATCGATATTTATATTTTACCTAGAATATCACTTTCTACCTGTAATCGGTCACAAATGCTTCTTTACTTAGAAAACCCCAAACAATACATAAAAACCCTATTTTCGATTACTGTAATAATAAAAAACTATGGTTTCTACAATGTACTTTTTGATTCGACTACAGCAACAAACAAACAAACTTCGCTTTAGAAACGCCTTCTGAAATGCAACAACAATTACGCTTCGATTTCATAAACTCGTCCGTTCTATCTATTTTTCAGAGGATATTTAGCTATGCCCTTTATATTTTCACCGGATATATTATTTGTATTTAATCGATACAACTACCCAAGTGTCGATACTTTTATGTTAGGTGTCGATACTTTAGATAGGATAATTACCTATTTCTTTGAAAGTATCGACGCGTACTTATTAAAGTATCGACACTTTCAATATATTCGATAGCGCTTCACCGGTTTTATCATTTCGAGACCGGTTTTGTCATATTTTTACATGTTATATCGTTATGGATCGATACATTTTTATAAAGTATCGACACTTTATAGGCGCTATTACTGCTTCTCTTTTAAATTCCCAAAGTGTCGATACTTATATTAAAGTATCGACACTTTCAATATATTCAGTAGCGCTTTATCAGTTTTTTCATTTCGAGACCGGTTTTGTCATATTTTTACCTGTTATATCATTATGGATCGATACATTTTTATAAAGTATCGACACTTTATAGGCACTATTATTGCTTCTCTTTTAAATTCCCAAAGTGTCGATACTTATATTAAAGTATCGTCACTTTCAATATATTCGGTAGTGCTTTACCGATTTTGTCTTTTCGAGACCAATTTTTTTATATTTTTACCTGTTATATTGTTATGGATCGATACATTTTTATAAAGTATCGACACTTTATAGGCGCTATTACGGCTTCTCTTTTAAATTTCCAAAGGTCGATACTTATTTCAATCTAATCGACACTTTCAACATATCCGATAGCGCTTTACCGGTTTTGTCATAATTAAACCGATTTTTTCATATTTTTACCTGTTATATTGATATGGATCGATACATTTTTTATTTGGATCGACATAAACCGACAAGCTAAGTTTGTTGGTTGCCAAATTTTTTAATATTTCTTCATGATTTACACCTACTATATTATTATTACTCAACATTTTCGGTAGCGCTAAACCGAATTTATTAAATATATTTTAATGTATCCGGTAACGCTGTATATTAACCCGCCTTTCCTAAGACAACCCCCGAGGAGAGGGTTTTCTTTACAAGCAAAGTTGGATTTTATACCCTCTTAAAATTACAAATGGTAAAAGTATAAGTTTGGTCCCCGGACAAAATTAGGGTATTACACGGTTAATTCGGTCGGCCAATGAATTAGTTTGGTCGGGAAACAGTTATTTTTTTTCAATAGTCGGTTAACGGTTAATTCAGTTAATGGTTAATTCGGTTCAAAATCGATTAATTAACTGAATTAACCGAAATTATTAAATATTATATACATTATAAACCTATTTTAAGCTCAAACCCATTAAAAATTCATACTCGATTATTCTTTTAATCACACTAGATTCATTAAATTATCAATATTTAATTAATTTGTAAGTCAAATAAAAAATATACATATATTATATTTAAATTATTCTAATTATAAAAAAATTCGGTTAATTCAGTTAATTAACCGAAATAATCAAACTTTATACGATTGATTAACGGTTAAAAAATATTCGATTAATGATAATTTGATTAAGTACGAAATTAACCACACCCCTACATATATGATATTAATAGATGAACAATTTCTTTAACAAATTTACACCCAATTAAAACCAACTGCCTGCGTTTCCTGTCAATGAACCGAGAAATCCGAACATTTAACAAAGGAAAAGGGTAAATAAATTTACGAAATTACATGCTCAATTCCTCGAACTACAATTTCATGGTTGAGACAATGGTTATACTCTAGATGTCTAACAAGAAGCCATCTTTGGTTGAAGAAGCATTCCTACTGCTGGACAGACTCCATTGATCCGAAAACCCAACAGATCCCTCGACGAACCTATTCCCACACTTGGCCACAGCCCTAACGCTCTCGATCAGTTCTTGAGTACAACCTTCTTGTGACAAAATCTCCAACAGCTGTTCCGGTGTGATCACTAACTTCACTTTCCAAAACCCACTCTTGTTGTTGTTGTTGTGCCTAGACAAAACATTGGTATGAGACCTCTTCAGGACAATCGCACGACATCCTGTACGGAGCAACACCCGATGCCGCCGGGATACTGTTGTACCTCACATGGCCTTGTCGCACAATCTGGCCGCTGTTGAGCGGAAGTAGATAGTAGGATTCGCCGGGGAGGAGTTCGTCCTGGTGGAAAAGTGGTTTCCAGAAGAGATCTTGGGTCCGGAAAATGGCGTGGCCGGGGAATTCATCGGTGATGGTTCCGGCTATTATGGGAGCTGAAAACTCCATTACGCCGCTGTTTGAAGTTATGACTTTGATCACTCCGTCCGCTTCTCCCAGGCCACCGAACAAGCAGTTCCCCATCTTTTTGTTTCTTATGAATCCTCGCCCATGAAATTGTTACTGGAGGAGTGGATATTAAAGGGAGGGAAAGTTATGGAGGGAAAGAAGAAAATAATATAGCGCCCGTGGGTCTCTTCTTTAGAGCTTCCTCAAATCTAACCGCTCCTAATACAAATCCCAAAACTAAACGATAAAGAAAAGAGAAAAGAAAGGCGACCACATCAGATATGCTCGTTGGGGGATTGTGGGTTAATATACGGTTAATATACGGTTTTATCGGATACATTAAAAGATATTTAACAAATTCGGTTTAGCGCTATCGGAAATGTTGACTAATAATAATGTAGTAGGTCTAAGTCATGAAGAAATATTAAAAAATTGTGTAACCGGCAAACTTAACTTGTCGGTTCGTGTCGATCCAAATTAAAAAAGTGTCGATCCAAAACGATATAACAGGTAAAACTATGACAAAACCGGTATTGAAATGATAAAACCGGTAAAGCGCTATCGGATATATTTAAAGTGTCGGTACTTTAATATAAGGATCGACACTTCGTGAATTTAAAAGATAAGCAGTTTTAAATCCTATAAAGTGTTGATACTTTTAAAAAATGTATCGATCCAAAACGATATACCAGGTAAAAATATGATAAAACCGGTATCAAAATGATAAAATCGGTAAAACGTTACCGGATATATTGAAAGTGTCGATACTTTATATAAGGATCGACACTTTGTGAATTTAAAAGAGAAGCAGTTTTAGCGCCTATAGTGTGTCGATACTTTAAAAAAAAATATCGATCCACAACGATATAACAGGTAAAAATATGATAAAACCGGTATCAAAATGATAAAACCGGTAAAACGATACCGGATATATTGAAAGTGTCGATACTTTCGCAAGTACGTGTAATAAATTATCGACACTTTCAAAGAAATAGGTAATTATCCTTTCGAAAGTATCGACACCTGACATAAAAGTATCGACACTTTTGTATTTGTATCGATTAAATATAAATAACATATCCGATGAAAATATAAAGGCCATATCTAAATATCCTCTGAAAATCGATAGAACGGACGAGTTTTTGAAATCGAAGCGTAATTGTTGTTGCATTTCAGAAGGCGTTTCTAAAGCGATGTTTGTTTGTTTGTTGATGCAGTCGAATCGAAAAGTATGTTGTCGAAACCCTAGTTTTTTATTATTACAGTAATCACGAATAGGGTTTTTATGTGTTGTTTGGGGTTTTGGAGTAAAGAAGCATTTGGGATCGATTGCAGGTAGAAAGTGATATTGAAGGTAAAATATAAATGTCGACACTTTTATTAAATATTGTAGGAAGAAAATGATATTATAGGTTGTATAAATGTGCCGACACATTTTGTAGTGGCCATTCAAATTCTTTTGAAGAAAACCGTTTTACCACAAGAGTAGTTATCTATATTTGTATATTGAATAAAGTGTATGTAACAAAATAATTTGATTTGCGTAAACTGATATATGAAGGAAAAATGGAGTCAATGGGTTGGAAAATTGTTGGTGGCGCATATGACTTTGAAATTGAGGCCGAGACTCGAAAGCAACCAAAGGGTGGATATATGTACTTCTAGTAAGTATCAATGTCTTTTTGTTATTATTGTTGAAATGGTAATTGGATTAAAGTATCGATAAACTCTAAATTGATTACAAATTTTAAATGTTGACAGTATGGCCGAATGCAAAAGGATGAAGGAAGATGGCACACAAAGCGGTTCGGTATGTAAAATGAAATTGACATTGAGTAGTATTTAGTGTTAATGTATTGATTAAGAAACGTTTATGTTTAATATTAGGTGACAAAAGATGTGAGGTCCAAATGGAATTCAATGAGTGATGCTGAAAAGGAACCTTACATCACACAGTCAAGGAATGATAGTAAAGAATACAAAGAACGGAGGAAAGCACATGAAAATAAGGTATTCATTAAACTTGTAAATACGTTGATACAAAATATAAGAACTATAACATTATATATTGTTAAAAAATGTAGGAAGTGTCGACAAGATGCAGCATTAAAAGGGTGAATTCATTAATTAAACACCTTAAGGAGAAGGGTCAGTTGAATGTGCTGGGAGAAATAGGTTTTGGATCGTTGGTAGGAGTAAGGGATCGACCTATTCGGAGGGAATTGTGTCGATCCTTGATGGCGCAATTTGATGTCAGACAATGTATTGCAAAGTATGGTGATTTTTCATTTCCTCTCAGGATCCCATGTGCTGCAGCCGTATTGGGGGTAAAAAATGAAGGCAAAAGTGTTGTAGAAGTCTGTAAGAGTAAGGACTGGAAAGCACTTGCCTCCAAATATGGTTTGAAGCAGAAGGTGACATATGCTGAAATTGAAGAGGAAATAAAAAGTGGATCTTACGTTGGGGGTGAGCTGAAGGCCAGAGTTCTATTATACCTTGTCGGTATCTTTCTTTGTCCAACGGGTCATACGTCAACGAACAAGGAACATATGAAGCTCATTTGCGATGAAGGCTTGAAGGGTGAATTCAATTGGGCTGAATATATCCATTTGAGATTGATTGAATCAATAATCACCTTTAAAAAGGGCATCCAGAGATACCTCAAAGGGTGCATAGCAATCTTAGAGGTAAATGAGTTGAAGAACTTTTTTGTGTTTTTATATAAAAATATAAATTTTATTATAAATGCAGGTTACACTGTTCGATTTTTAGTCGGGCTGTGAGGCAGTGCCAGCTTATGAAAGAACCGGAGTGGCACGCATCCGTGCATGGGGGAAGGAAGAGGTGGTTAGAGTGATGGTGAAGTTGAAGTTTGATAGAGTGAAGAAGCAAGAAAGGGTAATAAATGTAATTAAATATATTAAGATATATCAATGTCTTAATAATGTAATTTAATTTTGAAGGTTATTGGCAAGGATGTAGAGGAGGCAGTGGAGGCAGAGGAGAAGAAAGGAGAGATGGTTGTATTGGGGGATGACGGTGAGTGGGACGACAGTGAGGGAAAACATAGTAACTTCGACATTTTGATGTCTGAATTGGCTGATATCAAAAAAATCCAATTTGATATCATGCAAAGACAATCAAGAGTCGAAGAGAAACTTGATAGAGTCGAAGAGAAACTTGAGAGAGTCGAAGATACACTTGAGAGGTATAAGGGGGTAGTGGAAGGAAAAATAGATGGAGTGGTGAAAGAAGTAGAGGTGTTGAGGGTGAAGTGGTGAAAGAAGTTGGGGTGTTAAGGGGTGATATTAAGATGGTGACGGGTAAAAATTTGAGGGAGTGGTGAAGGAGGTTATGGAATTGAGGAGTGAACTTACGGGCTGAAGGGGTAGTTGATAATACTTGGATGAAGGAGATCAATTGAATGGTGAAATAAAAGAGATGAAGAGCTATGTAGAAAACAATACGATGAACTGAAAAATATGAAGAAAAGAGGGAGGAGGAAGAAGAAAAGATGGAAGAAATGAGGAGGAAGGAAGTCGATGTCATTTATACACCGGAGAGTGTTATAGCGGCAGATTTGGATTCTGAATGTCCTGCACCCCAGAAGAAGAAGCAGAAGGTAAGTTGAATAAAAGAAAACTTAATTTGATTTTTATTATGTTGTTGTGACAAAAATTTGTATACAAAATTGTAGGTTGAAAAAGCGGATATTCCAAGCGGAATTGATGACATCGAAGCTGCAATTTGTGATTATTTATGGAATAGTGAGTTAGAATCGGAGTAAGTGAAATATATTGCTTTGTGAGTTATATTTAAATATTTCATGACAACATATTAATCCTAATGATTCATACAGATATTCTGTAATCTCAATGGGAAATCAATTCGCTAGTGTATACGACGTTGCAACATTGAAGCCTACGGAATGGGTTGGCGGTGTGGTAAGTAGAAAGTACAAAATGTTAAAACTTATTGAATATGTTCTGATTGTGTAATTAATTTTGTTAGGTTATTGATTTGCTCGCCTGGATAGTTTGCTATGATTCTCAGAAGTCACTCCGGAGGATTGGCTACCTTCCATACCACTTAGCGGTGAGTTAAATTAATAAATGGAGATAAGTAGTGTTATAGACGGTAAATTAATAATGTTTGTTGCGTAATTGCAGCAGCAGGCGTTGGATGCCAACAGCAAAGAAAGTGTTGAGAGTATTGCTACCTTCTGGGGTCCCATATTGAATAACTATGTGAAATTCACCGGCTGTGAGAAGGTAAGACACCATACCAATTGCAACTGATGTTTTCGGATATAGAATGTTGAATTTTGTCAAATTGGGTGTGAAATTTGTTGCAGATCATGATCACAATAAACTACCATAATTCACATTGGTATCTGTTGGTGTTGGATATGGTAGATCGTGTTGCAACAATATATGATAGTATGTTTACAACTGAAGCAGCTAAACAGAGAGTGAAGGATGCTAAGAGATTGGTATGTATGTATGTATGAAAGGACATTATGTAAATTATAATGCATAATTTTTTTGGATCATAACTTCTTCTATTTTAATGCAGATTAAAATATTAGATTTTTATAATAAGAAACGCATTTGGGTTGAATCCTGTGGATCTCTAGGAAAGTATCCCTTGAAAAATTTCAAATTTGTGGAGCATAAGAAGAATAAGCAATTGAATGGGTATGAGATGTTATCACAAATAGAAAGCTTAATTTATGCAGTATTCATCATAATTGACATATGTGGTTTTAAAATTTTGTAACAGACATGATTGCGGCATGTATGTGATGATGTGGATGGAATCGATCGGTTCTACAGGGGCAACTGGTGATTTTGTAAGTGGAAAGAAAATTCGTTTGTGTAAAATTGTTAAAAGTCATAGATTGAATGCTGTAGTTTACAATACTTAACGTTCTGACAATTTGAATATAGGTTGTTGGAGAGTGGGATCGATCGCGAATATTAAACGATCTCGTAAGCCACAATCAAAATCAACGAAGAAAGAAGATAACAAAAGCTGCCATGATACATAAGAATAACAAAAGGATGCAATGATGT